CTAAAAGCAGGTGCTTCGGGGAACTATCCCTCACCCTAACCTAGGGCTACTATGTAAATCTAGATACTTAGGGTTATCGAATGTGGTGAGTGAGCTCATTTTCGTGAGTTTTCGTGGTTATCCACACACCTCTGAGTATGCCTCCCCTAGACCTATATAAAGTCACCTCGATTTAGGCTATATGGGGCAATAAGCTCATAGCTCCTTTCAATGGATACTATCCACCGTCCACATCGAGGTTTTATCCCAGGTTCTATCTAGGAAGGCTACCTATAGCAGGGGTTCATTTGCATCGACCACCATAGGTCCCTATTCATACATCTACCTCGATTTGCTTGATGACGCATACCCATCTAACCCTAGAACTCCATACCCAACTTAGAAGCGTAAAGTAGGCTAATAGAAAAGGTTAGGACGACTTACCCAAACACAATCAAAGATAGAATAGCAGTAGAATCAACTAGATAAACACATTCATTCATTAAAACCCTAAAATATCCGTACATACATAGTAAACTCTAAAACTAGGGTTTGAGTTTTAGAATCCCTAGTACCTTATAGGACTACTCCATAAAGAAGGGAAGAAGATACATAGAAGAAATTGAAGAAGATTTGAGGTTGACGAAGATGCCTCCTCTCTTCTAGATCCTTCTCCTTCCTTCAACTTCTCTCTCTTCTCTCTCTATAAAACCATAAATTCTTCTCTCAAAATCAGCTCCTCTAAAAGGGGGAAAAGGGTCTCCTATTTATAGGCAATTAGAGGACGGACAAGTTTGCGTCCAGAAGGGAAGAGATCACAAGCGGGATCCGCAATCTTGAATCACAGTCGTACTGGCAATGTGACCGTGATTTGACTAGGAAAACTCTCTGTTTCTCCTCGGCTCCTTTTTCGCGAAATTCGCGCCCTAAGCCCTCCAATTCGTGGCCGCGATCTTGGGCTTCCAGGCCGCGATCTTCAGCTTGTCTTCGCGGTCCAGGATCTCAGTCGTGATCTTTACTTCTAGGCCGCGATCTTCAGTCTTCTGCCCCCTTGCTACACTTGTGACCTTGTTTTGAACATAATTCGCATATATCGTCTAACACACCCTAAAATCACATCAAATTCAAATAAGAACGGAATAGGGATGCAATTGACAATGTTTAAGCATTTATGCACATGAATTGGCACGAAACAAGTCTCAATATGAAGGGTAAATAACACCAATTTATGTATTATCAATCTCACCATGGGGCCCTTGAGCTGTTCCATCGGTGTTGGCTTATGACATCCCCTAGCCGGGGGTGACCAACCGATCAGCGCATCAAAATGAGCCGGTTTCGGTTTCTTGTCAATACTTATGCTTACCGACTCCCAAGCTTCCTCCTATTCACTGGCTTTGGAAATCACATAATTAAAAAGAGTCAAGGGAGAAAGGGTCTTCCCTTTGAAGATCCTTTGGTTGCGTTGTTTCCAAATAAACTAGATAATGAGGCTAAAGTAACTTCCCCATTCGCCCGGCCAAGCCCGAATGTTGTTGTCAATGATGTTCGATCATTTCTCGTCTTCGACCTCCAATGCCATGAAGTTTTGCCAGCTTGTGAGGAGGCATGATCTTTACTGAAATAGCTTTGGCAATCCGACAATCTTTGAGACAAAGTAAGTTTGACCCTGCAGTATCACACTCGGGGCAACTGTCATTCGTGGTGAGATGGCAATATTTTCTAACAATGTTAGTGTAGATCTTTCCTTTGGCTGCCATCCAAACGAACAAACGAACTCTCTCCGGAATGTGGAGTTTCCAGATTGTCCTCCAGAAGGATACAACTTGAGAGGGGGCTTGCAGAGAAATGGAGGGGAAAGCGGAGCTTGTAGAGAAACTACCATCAGTAGTTAGTCTCCATCTCCGTCGATCACCATCTCTAGACAGGTGTCCACAATAAGCACTCGAATGCAAGCTATGACATTAGGGGGGAGGTAACTCTCAAACTCCTCTACCTTCCAGCCTTAATTCAAATCCCAGTAGTGATCCATTGGGTGTGCGAGCATCTTAGACAGAACTTCCTTTGTGGCCATGTCAACTAAGGTACTTGTGAAACCCCCAAATCCGTCCAGAACTTAGCTTCAATACCGTTGCTAATGTTAAAAGCGCACCCTTTACGAAGTATATCAGTAGTTTTACTATAACTATGCTAGGCGAAGGAATTTCCCTTTTGAGTTATTGAAAATGTCAAGTCCTTCTCTAGCTCTTCCATATTTGCTCTTCATGTCCATCGGGTGAGGGTAACGGTGGATTAAGCCATCAGGGGACGGGTGTAAAGAGGAGCCCAGTTATCGGGCGCAATCATGAGCCTGTGTATGAGTTTGTGTTGCCGGGCATGGTGGCGCCCGGGTGCAATACTACTAGGGGTGGCAATTCGGTTAGTTCGGTTATAACCGATAACCGAACGGTCGGTTATCAGTTAACCAAAATGTCGCCCACCTCTACCGAATACCGACCTACCACAGTCCTCGGTTAGCCGACAACGGACCAGTCGGTTACCGGTTAGTTGTTCGGTTAACCGAGATAACCGATAGACTATGTGGGGTTCGGTTTAATCATTAAAAAACAATTTATTGGGACTCATCGAGCGACACGGGAAAAGAATAAGGACCATTTCAGATATTCTTCCTAAAAAAAACAAAAAAAAAGGGAGAAGAAGGGTCGGGGATTCTTTTCCCATCGGCATCCCCGCCCCTCTATGTGCATCACACCATCACGCCAGCACCGCCATCGTCAAACTAACGTCGACGATGTCTCCCGCGTCAACATCTATCCATCCCTCTGCCTCATAACCAGCAGATCTGCGGGCGAATCGAGCTCCCTCTCCAATGGCGGCGAGGGCGTGGGGTGGCAGCGATGGCCCAGTGGCTAGGCGAGGGCGCCGACAGCTACGTCTCTGTGCCGGGACTAGATGGAGGAGAGGCGAAGGAGAAGGGGACAGGGGTCGAGATGGAGGGGAGGCGAGGGAATTTCAGCAGCGAGAGGCCTGGAGGAGGGTGGAGGTCGGCGAGAGCGATGGACAGAGGGAGGGTGAGGAGTCAAGGGCTGAGGGGGGTCAAGAGGGATGACGGCTGGGGGTCGGGTCGACGAAGGAAGGAGATAGGGTTAGGGTTTTGTGTTTTTTTAATATAAAATGATGTCGTTTTGGATCGGTCGGTTAGCCTCGGTTAGTCGGTTAACCAAAGTCGGTTACTCGGTTAACCGAAGCGCCTATTACCATTACCGACCACCGACCGAGCAATGCAATTATCGATTATCGGTTAACCGGTAACCGGCGGTTATCGGTTTAACCGACCGTTTAACCGGTAACCGAATTGCCACCCCTAAATACTACACTGACGGGCACTGGGAATCGGGCGTAAGGAGAAGTCCGATAATCGTGAGCTCGAGTATGCATGATTTTGTGTTGTCAAGTGCCGGTTGTCGGGGCAAGCGCCACGGTCCGGGCACAAGGAGGAGTCCGACTACCGGGCACAATCGTGAGCCTGTACATGATTTTGTGTTGGTAGGCGCCAGTTATCGGCGCGGTGGCGTGCCCGGGCGCAATAGTGCACCTACGGGAGCCGGGCATAAGGAGGAGCACAGTGGGCACAATCGTAAGCTCGGGGTATGATTTTGTGTTGGCTTGCCTAGTCACAATTGTTTGCTGACAAGAGTCGGGTATAAGGGCGAGATCGTGTGCCCTAGAGATTGGGGGAAGGAGAAGCCCCGGGGGGGGGGGGGGGGTCATGCCCAATATTTCACCGCGGGGAATTGGGGGTCGGGCGCGATCTTCGGTCCAGGTGCAATAGTTCATTGTTTGATAAGATGGTGGGTCATCTGCTTTTTCAGGTGCAGTAAAAAATATTTTTACATTACTTATAATAATATATCACATGTGTAAACCCAAAATCATGAAATAAATGAGAGAATGAGTTGCTATAACTTATACTTATAGTTATTATAATACCTTTATAATTTTATCAAATCTCCTTATAATTAGTGTTAGTTGGATGCTAACACTAAGAGGTATTAGCACCTGCTCCACTTGATAGTTAACATTACTAAGTACTAATTATTAGCCAAACCTTTCCTACGTTTTAAAATATTAGCCAAACTTTCCGAAATACAAAATATTAACCAAATTTTTTGTATTACATCAAAATATTAGCCATTTTTCTGTTCCCGCTAACAATTTATAACTCTTTTCTTAGTTAAATTACTAAGGTTTTGGAATATTGACCTTCATGTGTATCTTCCAAATCAGTGTCATGTAGCTAAGTCAATATTATTAACAAAATTGTGAACTGAAAGTTAACATTTGACTATTTTTATATTTTGAAAGGTTTAGCTAATATTTTAAAATGGTGGAAAGGTTAGACTAAGAATTAGTATTTACTAGGGCAGGGAAACGGTGTGGTCTGGTCTAGACCAAAACATATATACGGTCTCTGGTCCAGACCGAGAGGCTGAAGTATAGACCACAGACCAGACCACAGACTATACGGTCCGGTCCAGACCACGCCTGTGCGGTCTGGTTCGGTATGGTCTGGTCCAGATAGACCACACTCAACAAAAAAATGAATAATTTGTTTAGTCAACCACACAAAAAATTGAACCAATAACCAAGAAATATAATTTTTATTTGCCTTAAAACATTAATCCTAACATGCATGAATAATTTTGATACCCTAAATCTTAGTACATAACAAAGATACAAAGTAAACGCATCCCAACTTGCACCATAACGTCATAAACATTAACATAATGTCATATGGAGACACGATTAGCTCTACTCTCTGGTTAAATGTGGTTGTGAATGAAGGATGGACGAGATTCACAAACTAAGGTTGAGACTTGGGTGTCGTTGTGGGAGTTGGGAGAGTGGTCAAATGGGGTGTTAACACGTATTGACAAGTCGGTTGGGTCCACGGTTTGGTTCGGTAAACCGCGGTCTAGACCAGACCAAACCAATAGATTAAAACATAAAATAATACAGACCATCGACCAGATCATACTTAACGGTCTACGGTCCAGACCAAACTGTGCGATACGGTTTGGACCGAGGTTTTTCTAACGATCTGGTCTATTTTCCCAGCCCTAGTATTTACCCTTATTTATTTATCATTGAGGTGGTGAAACAGTAACTTTTAGGTGATTAGTTAAACTTCCATAAAACAAGAAACCTATATTCTTCTTCTTATACTGTAAAACCTGTGCAGTTACAGTATTACTGGAAGAACATTCTTCCACTTCTCATATTGTTGCAAAGTTTTTTGGGAACAAACAAACCTTGAAAGTTGAAACAGTTGAGCTCTTTTTTTTTTTTTTTCTGTCTGAGTCAGATGAAACAGTAGAGCTCCTTTTATCACAAAAGAATTAGGCAAACAGTTGGTTCTCTCTCTCTCTCTATCTCTCTCTTGATTCGTTTGTTTATGAATTGTGAAGAAGAACGCCCCCTGAGTAAAGACGTAAAGAGGTGAAAGGAACACCTCTATTTATGCTTGCTCACCAAACACTAACTTCTCATCCTTCACGCCAAAAATCCGTCTTCTCTGCCCTGCAACAAGCCTCTCACTCTCTCTCTCTCTCTCTCTCTTCCCCTGCGTTCCCTTGTTCCTCATTTGGCCTTGCCCCCGTTTCCCATTATAGCTTAAGCTCACTATCCTTTTCGTCCTCCTGTCTTCGTAAAACTCTTCTTCTGCTGTTTCTCTACTTCCAATCTCAGGTCATTTTACGTACCCGCAACTCTCTTCCGCTCTTTTTCTCTTTCCACACATATATGTAAACTCCGCTTCTTCTGGTCTTCCAAGTGTTTGTGTTTTTGCGTCAAAGGGCGGTGTTCTCTTCTCAATAATGTAATCTCGATTAAAGTTGCTCTCTTTTGTTTCTTTTCTCTTCTGAGTTAATGCCCATTTGCTTCAAAGTGCTTTGAATCCGCTTGTCCTGTTGATTTCAAATCATGGGCTGTCGTTAAATCTTCCTGGTTTAGCCCCTCTAGAATTTGTGGCTTGCTTTTGGTTCATGCCCATTTGGTGTAAATAGTTCAAAAAGTCTGCAAAAATGCAGGTTCTGGTAATGGGGTTTCGTTAAGTTTGGCAGGTCTTTTGTCTTCCTAAGCCTCGCTACTTTTGAAATTTAACATAGGGGCTTTTTTTAATTGTTTCAAATTCTAACATGTAAATCCTTAATCTCTCAAAGCTGCTTTGCTCTCCTGTCTTTGATTGAAGGGAAGTCTTTCCTAATGGTGAAGTAGAAAATTAGGTGTTCAATGGATCTCAATCTCATTGAAGTCAAACGCTAGTTAGAAACAGAGCAAATGGAGAGCATCTGTTCTTTCCGTTAGTTCAGGCTGTTCTGTCTCATCATGCCTTCAGTGCGCTAAAATCTTCTTGCTTTTTCCTTTTTTTTTTAACTGAAAGTGATTTGATCACTGCTAATCGATTCTTTTGTTCTTCACAGTGAAGATTCTTAAACATTCATTCCTTTATATACGCATCTCAACTGTTAGATTTTCTAGAATTTTAAACTATACACATACAGGATTCCACACAAATAATCATGGGTCATTTTTACTATTACCTCCCTCCTAAGACCCTGGCCTTCGTTCTTGTTGTCCTTTCCCCCATGGCTCCTTGTTAATCTTCTTCTTTATGCAAATTTAGTTTCTTTGTTGGCCTCTCGAGTCCTAGTCTTGGTTGAGTCTGGTTCATCTTTGTTGGGGATAGAGACTGTGGGCAGAAAAACATCCTATTTCCTTTTGATCAAAACCTTAAGTTTCAATGGAGGAGACATTTGTTCCATTGCGTGGTATAAAAAATGACCTCAATGGAAGGCTTTTGTGCTACAAACAAGATTGGACAGGCGGCCTCCGTGCTGGTATAAGGTGAACTTCCATGAGGTCCATTTATTTGAGGAACATTATTAATGTGAAGTATCAAAATGCAAGTAAGGATTAGTTCAGAAGTAATGTTAGAATGTTGCTCATTGTCTTGTTTGATTCAGGATCCTCGCTCCAACGACTTACATTTTCTTTGCTTCAGCAATACCAGTCATATCTTTTGGAGAGCAGCTTGAAAGAAATACAGGTATAAACTCATTGATATATTGGCTACCAGTGTTCTAGTTTTTAGTATCTCCCTAACAACAAACTCTGCTTTGATATTACACAGAAGGAGCTTTGACTGCAGTGCAAACTTTGGCATCAACAGCACTATGTGGGTTCATTCACTCAATTGTTGGGGGACAGCCATTGCTCATACTTGGAGTAGCTGAGCCAACAGTGTTAATGTACACATTCATGTTCAACTTTGCTAAGGACCGCAAGGATTTGGGGCCAAACCTTTTCTTAGCCTGGACAGGATGGTATTACTTGAATCAATCCATTCACTTTTCTGCTGAGCATGGTGGTTTATTTTCTTGCTGTAATGGAGTTCTCTGTTTTCACTTGCATTGGTTCTTAGGGTCTGCGTGTGGACTGCTCTCCTGCTTTTCTTGTTGGCAGTATTGGGCGCTTGCTCTATAATCAACAGATTCACTAGGGTTGCTGGTGAATTATTTGGTCTACTTATTGCAATGCTCTTTATGCAGCAGGCCATAAGAGTAAGTTTAAAATGAAGTGTTGAACATAATAAAGAATTTAGTCCCAATATAGGCGCCATCTGAATTGTGAACGTGATCCTGCAGGGAGTTGTTGAAGAGTTTGGCTTACCTGAGAGAGAAGACCCTCGTGAGACTGCACTGCAGCCTGCTTGGCGTTTTGGGAATGGAATGTTTGCTTTGGTCCTATCTTTTGGTCTTCTTCTGACTGCACTAAAGAGTCGCAAGGCCAGGTCATGGCGCTATGGAACAGGTACGGCGGTTGTATTAAGCTTTTTAACAAAACGCAATAATATGGATAATGGTGCATTCACAGTGAATCTAGTCTCTTATGTAATATTACTATCTCACCTTTTTACAATCTTTGTTTGAAGGCTGGTTGAGAGGACTCATTGCAGACTATGGTGTTCCAATCATGGTTGTTGTGTGGACTGGCCTATCTTACATACCAGTTAGAGATGTTCCAGCCGGAATCCCTAGGCGTCTCTTCAGTCCAAATCCATGGTCTCCTGGTGCATATTCTAATTGGACAGTTGTCAAGGTGAACCATAACACTGATGCCCTAGAGCAGGACTTTGCAAAGCTTCTCAATCCCATAATTTTTTTTCTTAATTTGCTTTGCTCTTGGCAGGAAATGGTGCATGTGCCACCCTTGTATATCATTGGAGCCTTTATTCCTGCAACCATGATTGCAGTGCTGTACTACTTTGATCACAGTGTTGCTTCACAGCTTGCTCAACAGAAGGAGTTCAATTTGAAGAAACCGGCTTCCTATCATTATGACCTCCTTCTTTTGGGAGTTTTGGTACAAACTTGTTCCTCTAAGATATGATTTGTTTCTCCCATTGCAACTCGTAGATCACAAGAACTTAACTTTTAATGAATTTTACTTGATCAGGTCATAGTATGTGGGCTACTTGGCATCCCACCTTCAAATGGTGTTATCCCACAATCGCCAATGCATACAAAGAGTCTGGCTACCCTGAAACATCAGGTATTACTCAGGTTGCACTATGCTGAATTTACTAATCAAATGTGTCCTACATCCTCTCCGTTCATGATTACATCCGTTTGCCCTTGTTCACAGCTGTTGAGGAACAAGCTCGTGTCAACAGCTCGAAAAAGCATCAGTAAAAATTCAAACCTCGGTCAGTTATATAGGAACATGCAAGAGGCATACAATGAGATGCAGACTCCATTGGTCTATCAACAACCATCTGCCCTGGTACATTATTTTGCTACTTACTACTTGTTTACATTTCTAGAACACGAATCATCTTTCTGTTCCTTTTGCTCCTGGCTTGACTTTGCTGCTGCTGACAGGGATTGAAAGAGCTGAAAGAATCCACCATTCAATTGGCTTCAAGCACTGGCTACATAGACGCTCCAGTTGATGAGACTGTCTTTGATGTTAACAAAGACGTCGATGATCTCTTGCCCGTTGAGGTTAAGGAACAACGCCTGAGCAACCTGCTTCAAGCTATAATGGTTGGTACATGTGTTGCTGCCATGCCTCTCCTGAAAAAGATCCCAACTTCAGTTCTTTGGGGATACTTTGCTTTCATGGCCATCGAGAGCTTGCCTGGAAACCAATTTTGGGAGAGAATCTTGTTGCTTTTCACTGCTCCCAGCCGCAGATACAAGTGAGTTACCTCATGTTCATGTTGCTCGCCCTCCTTGGCGGCCATATCTGGTCAATGCTGACTGTCATTTCAACTTCTACAGGGTGCTGGAGGACAGTCATGCAACCTTCATTGAGACGGTGCCATTCAAGACAATTGCTTGGTTCACCTTGTTCCAGACAGCCTATCTACTTGTATGCTTTGGGCTGACGTGGATCCCCATTGCTGGAGTCCTTTTCCCACTCCTCATCATGCTTTTAGTCCCGGTGCGTCAGTATCTACTGCCCAAGTTCTTCAAAGGAGCCCACCTTCAGGATTTGGATGCTGCAGAGTATGAAGAAGCTCCTGCAGTCTCCTACAACATCGCATTTGAGGTCAGTGCTGTTTTCTCTACTTTATGTGCACCTACAGGAACATTGCAAATGACTTAACGTGATGGTGATGGGTTTATGTTATCCAGGAACAACTTGGTCAAACCAGAACGCCTGAAATCGACGGTGGGGAAGTTCTGGATGAGATGATCACAAGGAGTCGTGGTGAGTTCCGACGTGTGCAGAGCCCCAAACTGACAAGTTCAACTCCAGGTTCCTTCGAGGACATCAAGCCTGCATTTAGCCCGGGATTGTCACAGAGGCGACACAGCCCACGTGTCCGCGAGCTCAAGTCAGAGTGGAGCCCAAGGTACGGAGGGAAGGGAATCGAAGTGAAGAAAACTCCGAGCCCTGGGCCAGGACCAGGACCATCTACCCTTGGCCAGGGCACCCCTGGCTCATCCGTTTAAGTGATCATCCCCTTCTACCTTCCTTTAGTGAGTCCAGCGCCAGCAGCGAATTTGAACTCGAGAGGTCTTTTTCGTTTTTTGTAATGTGTATCGACTAAGTTGGGTGTGCTTGTTTGTCTCGTTGGTTCCAAGCATTGAGTTGAGTTCCATTCCATGGATCTCTGTATCAGTTTCAGTATTGTTGTTTGGTTATGTCTTAGTTGTAAGCTTGTGGGCAGAGGACAAATTCATGCATGAATGAATGCATTAAAAATGCATATCATAACAAGCAAGTTGTGATGGTTATGGCACTAACTAGCAACTAGCAAGCATGGTTTGGAGACCGAGAAATCTACTTTAAACCAACTTGGGGGATTCAAAGCTGATGGGTTTTAGCAAGTGGCTTATCCTGATGCATCGTGGGGAACAAGAGAACAAACAATTCATTTATGGTGCTTTATTAAAGAGGTTTAGCTTCCTAACTGAAATCTAGTCACGATTTGCTGCACAGCTTCCTCGTCGAGTGGATTTTACTTTCATTACGTCAAGAAAAAAGAAGTGAAATCTCTTCCATTCTCCATCTGGGGGCCGACAACCAATTTTCAGTCATTCCCTTTGTGGATCTTTGCTTAAATCTCTTCCATGAAGATGATTTCTCCATTCTCTGATATGTTTTCCTCGTATCTGGAGTCTCTTTTGTCTTGGTGTTAAAAGGGTTGATGCCTTCTGACTTCAACAATTCTTCATCTTTTCATTCTATCTGCCTACCTCCTTGCTTCTCACAATACATCGTGTGATTCAGAGATGTTGTAGTTTTTCGTGTATCAGTTCGAACTCGGTGTGGACTTATGCGATTTTCGGTTTTTGAAGATCACAAAAAGTTATAGTACGGAATAAAAAAAATCGCATCAATTAAGTAATCGAGCACAAAATTGCATCGTTTGAAGTTTGAAGTGTGTTAGGTGTAAATCGTTGGACAAGGCAAGATCGTTGGAGGCATCAACGATCCGGTGGATTGCTTTAGTTGGCCGAATTCCAGGCTTGTTCGGGGCGTTTGGCCAAGATCAAAACTGGTTCGCAACCTACTCCAGGGAACCACTACCTAGATCATTTGATACACCAGCAAATCACGCCAAACTTTTAGTGTAAATGTGATCAGTGTCAGATCCAATATCTCTTCCAAAAATTAAATTTAAAAAAAATTATAAAAAATCTTAAATAAGAGAATATCCAACTAATACAAGTTACAACAAAAGTCTTTTTAATCCACATAAAATAACTCATTATTCTTAACAAAATAATACTAGTTCTCCAAATTTCGGTCCGCGCTCGAAATTCCGTGACCAAACTCTTTAGAATAAAATTGTGTGTTAGAATATGGCAGTGGCGGATCCAGGGGTGGCCACCCCGGGCCCCGGCCCAGCTCTCCTCTGGATTCGGTGTTAATATAGTCCTTATTAATTTTTTGATTTTAGTCATTCGGCCTAGTGTTATTTTACAATAAGATTGGGTATAACTAGAAAAATGATTCAGATGAACTTATTCAAATCACTTCTCTAAGGGGTCGTTTGGAGAACGGGATTTAGGCCGTGGATTCATTGAATCCATAGATTTTGTAGAAAGCTATGTCTTGTTGTTGCTTTTTGTATTGTGGATTTTAGCTTTAGAGATTTCAAATCTCTAAAATCTATGGATATCAAATCTCTCATAATCAAAGAGATTCTATATCTTGATTCATGAGATTTTTTTTCCTCCTACCTTTTCTCTTTCTTTTATTTATTTATCATATTAAATATATTTACTAACAAAGTTTTTTATATTTCTCGAACTTCTCTAATTTTTTATTAAGGATAAACATGTTATTTAATATAAATTTTTTATTTTTATTATCATTGAATGTTAACAATCACAGTTACCAAACAATAAACATTTTAAAATCTATTTTCAACAATCCGAAGAGTTAGAATCTTTAGATTGTTTACAATCTATAGATTTAAACTCATATTCTCCAAACGACCCCTAAATTTAGCCTACAAGTTCTAGCCCTAAAGATTATTCGTCTAAAAAAATAACGAAACCTAAAAGTCTAAAACGTAGAAGACGCAAAGAAATATGAGGTTTGTTCTCTTGAAAATTTACTAGAGCAGCTGGTGGATATAGGGATGGATACACAATGCAAATTGATTAGTCGATTGATTTGTCTAGTGTTGATGCTACTCGTTTCAACAGCTAATTGGGAGAGAACATTTTCAACAATGAAACATGTGAGAACTGATTTGCACAACAAAATGAGTGATGAATTTCTCGCTGATTGCTCAAGTATTTTATTTGAAACGATGTATACTATTGGTATGAATGTGGACTGCATTATTGATGCATTCGCTAAATTAAAATATCGTAATATACAATTGACATTGTAAAAAAATTTATTATTTTTACTGTTCTAATTTTCAAATGAAATGCGGCCCGGTGCTCTTCTGTGTTATGGATTCGCCGCTGAAATATGGTGGTGGATAAGAGGTAGCCCGTGGTATAATTTTCCCCTCACCACCTGGTTCAGCCCTGAGTTTTGTACTTTGAGAATTTTTTATAGGGTGTAAAGTATTTTTGAGGGAAAATCCCTCTACGCTCACTATGTTTACGCAGTCGGATTTACTTTGTTATCTGTATACCAAAAGATTAAACACTATACGAGTCGTGCCTCGACTTTCTTCCGACGTTGAACACACCCTAATATGTCAAGGGACGATATGCCAATGAGGAACTCGAAATTGAGCAGCAAACCAATCAAGCGATCGATCCTCCAAGGAAAAATAGATACAAACCTCGTCAAAGCTACAAGCACAGATGTTGGAAAGCTTTCTCAGGGTTTTCCCCTTCGATTTGAGAATGGTGAGGGAAATCCAATGGCATTTCTGCAGGAGATAGCCATGCTTCACTGAACACTTTTACTACTTCCTCGAACACCACTGCATTTCCTTCCGGTGTCAGGTGTAGACCGTCGCTGCAGAATGAAACTCAGGTTGGTTAGTATTCCTCAAGCAAATAAAACATCATGATTCAATTTGCAAACCAAAATGGTGGGTTATAGGGTAACTGCGTAACAGTAGTAATAGTACCTTAGATATTTTTGCTGCCAGCCATCAGTTTCCTGCATCTTGGACCATAAATTAATGGAGCGCACACCCAGTTCCTTGGCCAAATCCACACAGTGCTGAGCATAAACTCCAGCCATGTCATTTGTCCTCTCGGGGTGTTCCATAGCTTTCTCACCATATACCGACCTGGACATGTGAGATTAAATGTCATTTAGAACACATTATAAAAAATAAAAATCATTTAGAACAGATTACAGCAGCAGCACTGTTAACCTAGAAATAAGAGAGGACCTACAAATCTGCATCTTAAATGTATTAGGATTAATAGGCAGAGTCATTCATGGGTTAGTCCATGCAAAAAAGGAAACAAACACTTGTTGGGACATTTGAGGAGACAAGTAAGGACACAGTCTTCAGCACCTAATATTAAAGGAGACATGATCCTTTAACAAATAAACTACAAGCAGTTATCTACAAGAATGAACAGGAAACTCAGAGATCATGAACTGGAATGGGAAGATGAGAGGATTGTCTTGCGCATCAAGACATATCAAGTGCATGCCTTTCAGGAGCAAAAGGAGACAACTTTATCCATAACTTAGTCTCTATTTAACTTGGTTTCAGTACCCTAAGTGTCCAATGTCTCTACAGTTCCATGGACATTGGCTTTCAAGTGAAGCTAAGTTGAGAACTTCCATCAACTGAAAGGGAAAATCATCACAGGAACCTGCCTGTAAACTGAGGAAAAAGGGAAATAACGTACATGGCATATGCTTTACGCCCTGGCTCATCTACTGGTGGTGGAGTAATAAGCACAACCAGAATGGCAGGTGAAGATTCCTGCACAAAAAATTCCCATCTGTTGGAAATGGAAACAGAAATAAACTGTCGCTGCATTCACCGATAGCAGTATGTAATGGAACTTCAGTGTTTAATTGATTCATTAGTACACACTGCATGGCCAACATACATGCATAGAGAGTGCCATCAAAGTACCATATTAGGGTTGATTTGTGCCATCCAACATCAGAGAAGAAAAACCAAGCAAATGTGTAAATGTTCAACTGCTGTATTGGATGTCTAATGAATACAAGAACCAAGCACTTAAGTTTGAAGGATAACAGTTCGAGTCAACTGTAATTGCAATGGTGATGAAAATCCCTTCTAGTTTTTCCATGCAGATGGGGGAAATTCTAGGACTAAAAGGTTGTTAGCGCAAGATAAGTGAAAATTTTGTTTGAGAACTCTTGGAAGCTATCCTTATCCTAGGAGATCACATAGTTTCTACCTGCTCATAGTGATTGATCCCGTCCACGTTAAATAAACTATGGTTGACAATGTCAATGCAACACAAACGAGCAAGTTCTGTATCGCAGAGATTAAGTTGCTGAAGCCAAAAGCAATGTTGACACAAGATGAGACAATGCAGTTTCAGATATGTTACAGTAATCAGATGAGCGGAGTTGTACCTTAAACAAGAAAACATAAGGCACATAGCTCGCAAGTAGCAACATTGCATTATCCCTAGTTAATTTGGCTTGAGAACAGAACAAATGAACTGGTTTTGGCTAGTAACTTGTGAATTTTATCGTAGGCTATAGTATAATACCCAATAGCTAATCTTGCTTTGAACTGCAATTCAAATTCCCAAAGATCTACATCTTTTGGAACTGAAAGCATCAAACTTTATCTAAGAAAGAAACTCAACCTTCAAATGCTTGACAATCTTCCTGAGGTTCTCCTTATATTCATCCACCGGAACATGTTGTCTTTCGCTAGTTCTGCCCAAAAGAGCCGCATCATTAGCCCCAAAGAAGACTGTGGCGGCAATGGGAGCCTTTCTTCCATCCTGCCCCATCCCAAAGAGAAGAACGAAAATGCCAATCAGAGACAGAAACCCACCAAGGATTCGTAATACCCAATCACGCATTAAAAGAAAGATTTGTGAGAAATTACGAGAGGGAAAATGTGATGCAGCAAGAACAAGGCCCATCTGGTGTTGTACCCGCCATAGCCACGGTTGAAGACATCGGCCTGTAAGTGTTCGATGAAGAGAGTCAGTCATTCAGCGGGCATAAAAGGTAAATTGAACACAAGGAATAGGAAGAACTCGAAAGGGGTTTTACCTTGCGAGAGTAAGTGTCGGCGAGGGAGGCACCCCAGCCGCCTGATCTGAAAGACTGCTCGGTAATTGAATCGCCAAACAGGACGATCTGTGGTCTCATTGTGTGCTGCTGCTCTGACTGCTCTGTAAATGGTTGGTATTTGACACACGGGTTCTCCTGCCTGGTTTCTCTCTCAAATTGATCCACCGGTTAATTTTAGGAGTTGGGTGCTAACCTTTATATGGTTTTTTTTTTTTTATAAAAGATATTCATGTGTATAGAATCAACCAAAAGATAGTTACATCCCGGAACACAGCCAGGCCTGAAAATCAAACAAACAATTTGCAGTCGGAGACAATGAAAGGGTCTTCCTAGCCACCAAGTGGGCTACCCTATTGTGAGAACGACCTACAAATCGAACACTAAACCCCGGGTGCAAAACAAAACAGTTAACAACTTCTTCTAAAACCGCACCCATCCTAACATCACCAGTCTCCGCCCGATTGATCTTGTCTATGACCACTTTGGCGTCCCCTTCAAAGCAAACTTCCGAGACTCCATTCACCAGACACCACCCTAAAGCCTCGCGCAAGGCCAACACTTCCACCACCATAGGATCATCAATGCACGGGAAATGAAAGCCTCTGGCTACCAATATAGCCCTAGAAGGGGTCATCAGTACCACACCTCCCGCAGAGTGCGATCCCTGTCTCGTCGCTCCATCCCACATACAAATAACCCGGCTATCAGTCCCCGCATTAGTTGTGGGGGGCTCATGAGCAAACACAGGATTCCCCCGCTCAATTGGCACCCGCAGCCACTCATCAACCTGCTGGTTTAACTGCCGCATCAAGGCTGGGATCCCAAATTGCTTTCCTTCAAACACAACCCAGTTCCGAGAGCACCAAATCCTCCAGAGAACCGCCACCACCGTCATAACCATTTTAGGGGTTAGCACCGTGATAACTAGCAAAAAACGCTACTAAAAATAACGAAATCACTACGGATTATTATAAAATCAATACAACATCTAAGCTAAATCACTACTAATTCAAACTAGTAGTAGTTTTTCCCTTGGTTAGGACGGTGCTAACTATTGTACAATTAGCACCGTAACCGCTCCCGTTGGTACAATTGTGACACACTATCTACTTATAAATTTTGTTGGGTTAGGTTAGCTCGCGTTGGTATGGTTAATGTCTAGGTTAACCAAAAAAACAATTTTCCAATTAGTCATTATAAATGATTTAACTAAAATTTATAATAAATTATTTACAAATTAGAGAGATTGTATTAATTTAGACATTTTTCATTTTTTTTATAGTTAAATCGTCCGTATTTGTACTTTAAAAATATTAAAGTTTGGGAGTGTCACCTATGAACAGTATTCTCGATTTTTTGAAAACTTATGCTTTAATATATCTAAAAGTGTCATTGTTCAGCTTATTTTCAGCTTGAAAATTTCACGGGTCATCCAAATGGGTCAAGTTTCACTCGTTTTGAACGCATGAGTTTTGCTAAAAGTTAAGAAAATGAATTTTCATCGTACCATTACCATATTCAAAATTCAATAAGGTTGATTAGTATTTAGGGGGAAAAAAGGTAACGAAGGGTCATATTTTGGCTCAAGATATGCGAAGGGCACGGTCCACGGCCTAGAATGTGTTTGCAACATGGTCCATGAAATACCAGTATCGAAGGCTAAATCGATGGGCGGTATGTAACGGTCTAATGGTTGAACTACGGTTAAACCACAATTTTACCATAAAAAACTCTACCACTGACTTTCTTGGTATTATTTCATGGACCATGGTTTGCTATATGTTGGTTCGTATAAAATCTTATACACAAAGTCACCCAAAGTTCTCATTTCACGATAGAAACAAAGCAAGAATATGTGGGGAAGTTTGTAAACCACCATGCGAATGCGTTGACAAAGAAATAACATAAGATAATTAATTAATTATTAAATTTCTAGAAGAATGAACGAAATCAAGAGACAAACGTTAATTACTTGACCTTCATTAATCACAACATATAGTTAAAGAGCTCATAACATATTGACTGATACGAAACATGCCTCTTAATTGCCTTTTAATTTAACCTTTGTCATTATGGTTTTATTCATCAAACCATTTTTGTTTTAAATCTTTAACCCTTTTGAAATAAATGTAAAAATTAAAGAAAAAAACACAAACAAATGTATGTCGGTTTCCATTCTTGTGCAATTAATACTCATTTAAACCTTCTGGAATTCCTTTTAATTCTCTATAAAAAAACAATTCCCTACAAACAAATAATACACAGATAACAACCAGTTAGATATTGGGTTTTTATTTAGATTATTGAATTTGGTAGAAATACAACAGTAACCAACAAACAACTGCCACGTGGAGGTTCAAGACATGTAGTATGATACCTGAGAAGGACATGATTCTGCCCCCTAACAGTCTGAAGAAGGCAACTAATCTTTGACCCCTCATTGACCATTGAATTTTGCAAATTAACCCATTTAAAAGTGAGTAATTACTGTTCAATTTTTTATTTTTATTTTACAAAAACCACCCTCCTCCCTAATACCTCACTAGAACACACTCACAAGTGCTAAGCACTCGAAAAAGAACCTTAACCATTCGATCACTAAACGATTAACGATCAAGATTAATTAGTACAATAAATGCAGTCTCTTCCCCCAAACTCCACCAAAAAAACCCCTCTATTAAGATGAGCACAAAGAAAAATAAGCATAAGCTAGCCAACTCTCTCCCTCCTCCTTGGTCTTTAACCCTCTCAATTAACCTTCCATAAAATTACCATTCCTTAACAGTCATTAGCCAAAAATCCTCGTGTTTAATTCTTCCTTTCAACAATGGATTATGAAAATGACAACTTGAGGGAAGAAAAAGATTTTGTCTCCCCTTCCTCCCAACAACCACCACCACCAATGTTCTTGTCGGAAAAATACATCACCACCGCCACCATACAACCCCACCACCACCAAGTTGATGAATTTCCGTATGAGCCACCGCCAATATTACTCCCGCCGCCGCCGCCGTCGTCATCAACTGGGTTTCTCCAAGAATTCCACAACCTCGACGAAGAGGAAGATAATTTCCACAATGGGTCGTCGTTAAATCATCATCAGGTGTTCGGAGTCCACACCAGTGGCAATTTCGACTCTTCTTCTTCTTCTTCTAGTTTCGGTGGTTTCCCTTACGGTTCTTCTTCATCATCAACCATGGATTTTCATGAGTATGAGTGCAAGCCCTTTGCTAATAATAATCACCATATCAATGGCGACGGTAATTTCCATTACTCGAGCACCATTATCCCTCACCGGAATTATAACTATAATCATCACCACGAGATGGTTGAGATGATGGGATCCAATAGTAATGCCAACAATAATCCGATGGTGAACATGGTCGGCTTACAAGAGATGAAGCCATTTTCTGTAGCCGCCGATGAAGTCATGTTGTCGCCTTGTGTCAATCCGAGTAACGGTGGAAATTGTCATCACAAAAATGTCCAATTAGCAGACTATTGCTACAAGAATAAAATGAGCAGTAGCAAGAATCATAGAGGTAGCAACAGAGCTCTAGGATTGCCTCCTACTACAAAGAAGACATGGAAAGGCAGGAAGAAGAACAACGTTGTCAAGGGTCAATGGACCGTCGATGAAGACAGGTATATATAACAACGAATTACGTTAACACACACAAAAATCCAACATCATATATGTTCAAATCGTGTTATTGGGTAATTGTGTTTATTATTGTCAATTGGATTGTGGTCGATCTTACTATTCTTCCATGGCAATTTGTTGTGTGTTTACGTACGTACGTAACTCAGGCTGTTGGTCCAGCTAGTGGAACAGTACGGGATCAGGAAATGGTCTCACATTGCTCAAATGCTGCCTGGGAGAATCGGGAAACAGTGTCGAGAGAGATGGCACAATCATCTCCGCCCCGATATTAAGGTACTTAAAAATCATATATTTTCATCCACGAAAAAATCGTAGTAAAGAAGCGATCAAGTTTCGTACATGAATATCTTCCAACAACTCGAGTTATACGTTGTTGGGATTGATCGGCAACAAATGGGATTTGATTTTTCAGAAAGATACGTGGACAGAAGAAGAGGACAGAGTTCTGATACAGTCGCACACAGAGATAGGCAACAAATGGGCGGAGATCGCAAAGCGGCTCCCGGGGAGAACAGAGAACTCGATCAAAAACCACTGGAATGCGACAAAGAGAAGGCAGTACTCCAAGCGCAAATGTCGCTCCAAGTACCCACGTGGCTCGATCCTACAGGACTACATCAAGAGCTTGAACTTGGATGGCGTCAATAACCGTCACGGAGGCAGGAGATCGTCAGCGTCCTCGTCGAAGAACAACAACAACAACAATAGTTCGTCGGCAAAGGCGACGATAGATCAGCAGCAGCAGCAGAACAGCATGGATGATTTTTGTGAAAATGACAGATTGGTACCCAACTTCGACTTCGGTAACGAAGAGGTCCCTGATTTTGGATTCGATGACAAGATTTTCCAGGACGGGTGCGACATCGATTCGTTGCTCGACGGGCTGCCCCCTTGTGCGCCGTTGTCGGTGGACGGGAAGAGCTTCGACGACGAGCCGGAAGTGGCGACGGAGGAGGATGGGGCTCCGGCGGCGTTGTTGGACTTTGAGGTGAAGAAGGAGCTGGACTTGGTGGAGATGATGCTCGTGTCACAAAAGAAAGGATTTTAAGAAAATATCATGACCAAATCGCGTAATAATATGCTCAAAAGGGAGATTATTGTTTAAAAATATTGCCTGGTATATGATGGTGATATTAGATTTTTGGGTATGGAAGAATATTAGTTATCTACTAGCTAGCTAAGTAGTACTCCAACTTATTTTTGCCAATTCTTTTGGCAATTTTTGCTTTCTTTTTTTGGATGGAATTAGATATACACGTGCATATAGATACATGAATTTGTGGACATCATTTTGTTGTAGAGAATGAGAATTTGCTCATTGAAAATGGAATAAATGGGTCTTTGATTATATACTATGTATACCTTTTATTTATTTATAAATGCGAGTGTATCAAAATCACTTCCTAATTATTTTCTTGGTGATTGTGGATTCCAAATCTCTCTAAAGATTTTTGCCTATTTTATGTTGGTAGTGATCTCAAGGAAGCTACTCATCACTGCATTTTTATCACATTTTTCATCTTTTAACTTAATCACCTTCAACCCATTTGTTAGTTTCTCAAAAAGACTTCTTAGGAACTCAATATGGGACCAAAGGATAATCTTCTATTAAAGCGATTTCTTATCTCTCAAGTAATATGTATTTCAATCAACTGTACCAGTTCTATATCAAATTATGGTGAAATACGTGTTTTCAATAAGGATTTTAGAATATTAGGCAGCTTAGCTGTCTAAGAGGCTCAAAATATCCCGTCCAGAAATATGTCTGTTAGATAGTCTTATATTTTATTTCACTAACCCATGTTTTGATTTTGATCATTTTATAGCATATTGTAGAGATTAATCCTTCGTAAACAAGTATTATCATATCGACCTAAGCATAATCTTATCTGTTTCTGTCCGTCCTGCAAGAGTCATACCCATCTCATGAGTAGCTTGGAGAGAGACAGTACAATTTATGCTAAAATTCACTATACATCAAACTTTTATATTAACTAATATAGTTACAGTATTTCAGTGCTTTCACATAATTTGTGCCCATTACTAATGTGATTCATTTCCTTTCTTAATTCGAAATTCTCATCCTTCTTTTTCATACAAAAATCAATATGTTACTACATGTGTTCAAAGCATATCTAAAAAAAATCAACTTGCCCCGATTCATGTGAATATTATCCAAACTTATGTCAGTGTGAATCAACCTATCTCAACCCATATTCCATATGAATATTATCCAATCTTATTCTAAACTATTGCATGGGTATTGACTATTGAGTTACTAATATCGCCACACCCTCTTCCCGTTTCCAGTTGTAAGTAAGTTTGGTAATAGAAAGTTGTCAGGTTGAGATAATTATGGTTTGTTTTTATTTACCGTTTTCATTGTAGATAAAAAAAAAACATGTTTTATTGAATCAGATTTAACCGGAATCTAATTAAATTCGAGCAAACTGCAATTAAATTGGGAGTTTTTAAGGTATTTGTTGCATTCAATTAGTGGAAAACTGAAGCTGATGAGGTGTATGTTACGAGTTTGGAGTCAGTACATCCGGTCTCCTGAAGTAAAAGGCAGTCGGTAAATTACCGTAAAGGAAGAATTAATTAGTTTGCAAGTAATTAAACGCACATTATCAATTTTGTGTCTGAAACTTCACATGCGTCTTGCAATTTTGATTACTGTTTTGATTATATTTGTTCAGTTGGAGCAAGGTGATCATTTGTGTTAGAAGTTATTTTAGCAATATGATTATATGCATGTCATCGTAATTTGTACTTTTCGGTCGACCTAATCTTAATAGCGGTTGACAAAATACACTAATGTGGGCACCCTGATGACTTATTACGGTCGACCTTTAAAATGTAGTGGTCGACCGTTTGTAGTTTAAGTTGTCATTGTTGGTCGACCACAATAAAAACATCGGTCGCCCTTTTTATTGGTGTCAGAAGCAAAATGGTCGACCATTTACAGAATGAGGTCGACTAGATAGAAGAGAAGTGTTGTATCCATTTATCCATCACCATTTGACGTAAAATGAAGATCAAGAGTGTTGGTTTCGTGGTCGACCTAATCCGGTACGAGGTCGACCGAATACAGGAAAATCAACCTATGCCCTACGTCTTTTTTGCTTATGTATATCGGCGTGGGTGGTTCTTTTGCTCGTACAAATTACGTTTTAAACCAATAAAATCAGTCATAAATAATGATAACAATGACTCATAACTTCATAACATAAAAACTAAACAAACTAACAAGAAATACAATAAAACACAAATCATAATTGTTCACACATAACTGAAATCTAAAACCACATCATATTAATTCACAATCCTTTTTAATACTTAACAACAAAAACTGAAACGACAGATTAGGTTGACCTAATCCTATATAAGGTCAACCTAAAAGTTCTAACTAGTTGGCCAATTGAAAGTGATCTCATGCATGTCAGATATTTTAAAGTTAAGATTTCTCAAAAGAAAATTATTTTTAATAAATATTAAATTTAATAAAACAAGCATATAGGGTACTAAACCCCTATAAGATACGAGCACGAATCAGGTACCGTAGTTATCAAAGTGATGCAGCTTCAAGAATGAACAGACAAATAGATTTTTAGGGTTTTTGTTTGTTAAGGATAGTTTGGAAATGAAAGTGCAAGCTCACACAAAATCGGGAGAAGACATTTATAAATATAATAGGTAGAATCTCGACCACAATCAAGAGAAAAACTTGATTAATACAGATAAAAGTTCAAGGCTAAAGCTCAAAACCAAAATAAAGTAGCGTTCCAATCTGCCCAAGGCCAATCCCGGTCGCCTCCTTCAATTTCCCCGATCGGGGAATTCCTCTCCTAGTCGGACCCTCGTTTGACGGTATTCCCGGATTGGCCCCTATCAATCCCCGGTCAGGGATTAACCTGCTCTGGTCGGGGATCTCTTGCATTCGCTGCTACTGATGCATCACCGCTCTCGCATCAGTCCCTCCCAGTTTGATAAGTTTTGCCCTTGAAACTTGAGTTTTCCTGCAAGGAACAACATCAACAGAATTTCTACATGGACTTCTCCTCAATGCAGTCAACATGTTATTTCGAGCTATCAGATGCTTTTCACTTCCATCCTCCGACTTTGAGCCACTTGTTTTTCTTTTCTCCTTGTTCCAGTTCAGCTCCATTTGTCTGTGATCTTCGTAGACTACAACTGGCGACAATGGATTCAGCAGAAACTTCTGATCTCCCTTTTTGAACCAATTAGTTGTTGTGTCTTCCATCGTGAATAACTTCTCGATCATATTGCCATGGACGACCCAATAGGAGATGAGCAGTCTGCATTGGAGCAACATCACACCAAATTTCATCAGCATAATCACCGATCTGGAAACAAACTTTGGCATTCTTGTTGATTTTGATATTGCCATAGTCGTTTAACCAATGCAGTGTGTATGGTTGAGGATGCTTGATGATGCTCAATCCCAACTTCTTGACTACATCCAGACTAATCACACTGGTGCAACTACCACCATCAATGACCACGGATAACACTTTTTGTCGACCAAGCAGCGAGAGTGGAAAAAGTTATCCCTCTACTATGTCTCTGTGTAAGTTTCATAGATAAAGCTCTGTCGTTCACTCAAAGAAGTTTACCGGTTGGAGGTTTCTCAGCCTTGATCATGTGCTCATCCACATCATCATATTCAGAATCAGCATCAGAACTGAATTCATTCCCCATGGGTTTCTCTTCATACTCCTCCTCAAAAATTACTCTCCATCTCGCAAGACCAGAGCCTTCTTGTTGGGGAATTGGTTGGCCATGTGACCTCATCCCAAATAGGGGTGGGCAACCGGTTCGGTAAATCCGAACCGAAACCGAATTAATGTTATTCGGTTCAGAATTCGGAAGGAAAATATAGATAGTTTGGAAATCAGGGTTCTTTCAACCGTTCCGAATTTTCGACCGAAAAACCGAAATACTATAATTGCAAGCTCCAAATGGTGGATTTTTATGTTTGTAGTTGTTTTTAGACTTAAATATTTGAAATGTTTTATGACTTATGTGTGAAAAGTTTGATATAATCATTGATGATGCATATAATTGCATATTTATTGTTTATATTAGGGGTAAAAAATAATTTAAAAGTGAGGAGATACAAGTAGCTTAACAAATTCGGTTTTGTGTGAAAAACCGAACCGAATTATAATTCAGTTTGAGGTTTGGGAGAATTCGGGGACCCGGTATTCATAATTTCGGTTCGGTTTCAACCGAATGCCCACCCCTAGTCCCAAGAACTTAAAGAATTGGATGCTTCCAGTTGATCCTTCATTCCTGGCTTGGATGATTGGGGTCGTGTTCCTAATAGTTGGCTTATCACATTCTTGCTTAGGGTGATTCATGTAATCCTCAAGAATGTCCTCTGCAACAGGTTTGAGCGGAGGTGGGTACCTTCTTCCCAAACTTAGCTTTAGCTGCCTCTCTACCTTCATGGCAAAATACATCACTTCCTCCAACTCCACAAACTAACGAAGCTCTAGTTCATCCTTGATTTCTCTGTTGAGTTCATGTAAAAAGCGAGCAATTGTTGCTTTCTTGTCCTCCCTCACATTTGCTCTCATTAAGAGCAGTTCCAGCTCTTTGAAGTACTCATCAACAGTGCGTGCACCTTGCCGAATTCCCTGCAAAGAATCATGAAGATCTCTCAGATAGAAATTCGGCACAAACCGATCACGCATCAAGACTCAGAATTCTTTCCAAGTAGAAACTTCATGTTGTATATTCCTTTTTTGTCAAAGCTAAAATGTTCCCACCAAGTTGCTGCATAATCTAGAAACACATAGGTGGCTACAGGCACCTTCTGATGCTCTGGATAAGGATTGTATTGAAAAAATAAAATCATCTTTCTCTCCCAGTCGAAGTAAACCGATGCAATATTAATTTTTTGAAATGACGGAATTGAGAGTTTAATCTCTCGAATCTGATCAACACATTTACCTTGCAAATAACACCCAACATTCAACTTGCCAAAGAAATTTGCCGTCGGGAAGTTCCCTCCTAATAAAATTGCTCTAACCAGGTCGTATACAATTATTCTCAGTCAACCCTAACCCAGCTAAAAGCCACCCCCAAAAAACAACATCCCCGTCCTAAACAATGGGGATCAAACGCAACAAGAAAACACACACAACCTAACCCTGAAGTTCCTGGCTTGGTCTACAACAGTTTTGTTCCTTCGAATGCAAGAAAACATATAAAAATGCTATCAACGGAAGACAAAAACCCCAATTTCAAATCATCGGGAAAAAAACCCCCCCAATTTCAGAGAAACCAAAATTTATCGACAAAACACTTTTCAAGCTTCCTTTGGCTTTGGCTTAATGCGCTTCACTCTCGAGTATAGGAACACTCCAGCTAGTGCTATCCCAGTGCCTGCAAATCACAATTTTCACAGCACAAACATCCTTTGTCAATGCTGGGAAATGGGCGAGTTGGTGAAGTCTTCAAATTGAAAAGGTGTGTTTGTTACCTATAGAATTGACTGGTGAAACAGGTGTCTGGAAGAAGATCACGGAGCTCACAATGACCACCACACGCTTCACACAGTTGCCAACTGAGTGGGTAACAGGTGATACCCTCTGCAATATCATGTACGAAACCTGCAGACATAATGGAATGAAGGATGAGTTAAGCAAAAAGGTCGGAAGAAGATCAACATAACAGGCGTAGTCATAACGGCCATAGCAAAAGTAGCAATACTCTGGAAATAAAGTGCAGCTCTCACCTGCTGATATGCATGGAAACATAGAGCAGCAATTAGCGACCTAGTGCACACTTGTTTAACATTTAATCCCTGTTATGCAACAAAAGAAAAATTTATAGTATTAATGAAACGAGCACATTTGTGGCTATGTTGCAGAAATCTAAAGCTTTCTATAGGGAACATACAGCAGACTGGAGGTATGCTGGAGTGAACTTGACGCCTTCCATAAAGAGAGCCACAGGAGCAAGCAAGATAAATGACATAATTGTTATGATTGAGAAGAGGGTGATGTTGTCCATAGATTCCTGTTAACAAGTAACATTAATATGCGTCAATGCACATCCCAAAGGCAAACAATAAGAGATACCTTCACTGGAAAAATAGGCAGTAAATGAGGGGAGAAGTACCTCTTTCTTCACCATGACTTTTTTGCTCAGGACATTACGAGATTGATTGGTCACATTGGAAGCCATTGCAGTCCAAAAACCAGCCCTATATTGAACAATACAGTAGAGAAAAATCATATTCTATGATAAAAACCAGCTCTTCCATAGGGAAACAAAGCTGCAGCCACAAACAGATGTAGAGAAAATGTTTCTAGGAAGCAGGGACACCAAAAATGAAACATCTCCGCAGTACTTACCAATTGAACGAGGCTTCAGTCATAGATGCCAACGCCACTCCACCAACAATTGGTAAAAGAGAAGATACCACCCAAAGACTAGGAAACTGTAAAAGTACAAGCAGAGTGTCACAAATTGATTTTACCATCGAATTGGAGGGAAAAACAACACCTACTACTCAATTCTTATGGTTCAATACATTCCTTTCATTAGACATAAATTCACATAAGCCTCACCTCACCAAGGAACATTGCAGAGAGAAGAACCGAGAAGAATGGCTCCATAGCTTTGATAGTGTGAGTGAATGAAACAGCCACTTTTCCAAGACTCATGTTCGTGAAGAGATTACCAAGAGTGTGGACAACCGCAAGAGGCAGGATTGCAGCAAGCTGTCCAAAGTAAAAGCTATCCCATTAAAACCTCTCAAGCTCAAAGCCATCCAGTGCGCCATATATCAGCACCAAAAGAAAGCATCTCGATTTTAAACAGTACCTGAGCGCCACTAATTTTGGGCCTCTTATAGAGGTTGAAAGTCCACATGAAAGTAACGAGAGCAGTTCCCATAGCAAACTGGATGGCGGTAATCGTTACGGGGTAAGGGAAGACTTTCAAGACCTGCACAATGCATAGAATCACAAATCAGAAACCAGTCCACTGCCGGAGTTTCCACAAGTGAATGCACATCTAAGTTGGGAAAGAAAGGATTCGTCGTATGACTATAAACAATATGAAATCCTTTGTCTAGCACCACTGCATACGAATTGGCTTGCTAAGGGATTCTCCATAAACAAATTCGCCACATTACAAAATGATCATTCACCAACCACCATTTTCGTCAGGATGATCTAAACATTGCGCGCAAATTTCAAATCTCACATTCACAACAATCATTCTCAAGCAGTACTGAGAAAAGAAACTAGTAGTCTGAACAAGATTCAAAGCCAAGGGAAAAGAAAAACGAATCCAACCAAAAACCCACCTGCTTGTTATAGATGTTGAAGTAGATATTGAAGAGATACCAGAGACCAAACAAGGATCCGAGCACCAGAGTCTTAGTGAAGCTACCGGACTTGTCTTCCTCGCCAGCGGTCTCGGCAGTGGCCTTCACTTCAAATCGCTCCGCCCTCTTCTCAGAAGAAACAAGCGGAGGCAGGGGATTCCATGGCCGGAGCTGGAGCTTGGAGGAAGGGGAGCCGAGGGACCAGGAGCGGCGGGGGAAAACGACATTGCTGGAAGCGCCGAGATCGTCCCGGCTAGTAGCTCGAATAGGGTCGAAGCGGAAGCCCAACCTAGGGTTGGTGGACCGGAGCGGACGGAGGAAGGAAGGGGAGGTAGTGAAGGCGGCGCTCTGCATTTCCCCGGCGATTGAAGGAAACGAAGAGCGTAAGGAAAAGATGGGAAGGAGGAAGAAGCAGAGGAGTGAAGAAAGGCGGTAGGTGGGAAAAAGGGAGGAGTAGAGATCTTTGAAGAAAGGCGTTGAGAAGTCCGTCCAAAGTTTGGTGTAACGTCCGCCGTGGCCACTGAATTTTTGCTCTTATTTTTTGTTTTGTTTTGCCCAAGGTTGTCAAACCGATTTATGTTAGTGTGCCGGTTTAGCAAGTGGAATGGTTCGACCGGTGACACATACCGGTTTGTGCCGGTTCATGCCAGTCAATATTACAAATAAAATTATAAATACTCATTTTAAACATGACATTTAACGTCGTCAATACCTAAACAGTAAACATTTATACTTGAATCAAACAAATAACATCAATATTTAACATTTATACTCATAAAATAAATAATAAAATAATTTTTAACAATTAAAGTCACTAAAATAAGGTTATTTTACATAGAGATTTGTATACCATTCATGCCGATCATACCGGTCATAGTGGTGGTGTCACGCCGATTTTATGACCGGTACCCTGGTTTTGCCTTTTGGCCTAAGGGTCTGTTTGGTACTTTGGTTAGGAATCCCAAGCGAAGGGCGGATCGGATATTCTGAATCTGGAGGAACTTCTTAATATGGCATTTTGTCGTTTTGGCCCCTCTCCCACAGACCCACTCTCGTTCGTTTTCCGGCAGCCGCTCGCCTCCCCCCCAAAATCGAAAACGAACCTCAACCCTAGAATCTCGATCGAACGATCCCATCCCCAATCTTCAGTCTTTCTCTTCATCCCTTCTTCTCCAATCAGTTCCAGTTGGAGCACCAAGTTCTGGCTAGATGGGTTTGGGATTTACAGTCGGCGTTATCGGAGTTCTGATTCTGGGCCACGCCGCCTATTCAACGATTCAGTGTAAACCTATGATCCACTGAGAAGCCTTGATCTTCGCAAAGTTGCGATTTTTTCCCGACTTGTCGATTAGTTTTAGGGAGTTGATTGAATCCTCCCTTTGGGTTTGATGCAGATAGGAGCCTGCTGAAGATTATGGAGGAGGAATTCTCTGGGCCTCCATTGGATGTGAGTTTGCTTCCTTTCTGATTGCTTCTCTTCTTCTTGTTAACTATAAAATCGGTAGCTTGATAGGTGCTTTGGGTCTGAATGACGGGTTCGATCGATGTAGGTGGTGCTGGAGTTGCTTGTAGGGCTATTGTGCTGTATGTGGGCAGCTTTAACTGTGCCGGGGAAGTTCCTGTCTGTACATCCCCATTCTGACGAGAACAGGTATGTTTGTTTATATTCTCAGATTTGCTGCTAAGTGGATTTTGTAGACGAGACATTTGTTATGTGGGTTCAGTTAACTATTTTCTTGCTTGCTATGCATTTGATTGCGAAAGGTTTACCATATATTTCTTCAGTTTTTTAGCCTGGGACAGGACTTAATTGTGGCTGAAGCAAGTTTCTATATTTCCTAATTAGCTTGCAAGTTTAGGATTAGTCATACGGCCCCTTGTTATGGACTTTCTGAAGAAACTGCATCAGGAACGAAATATACCTGTAAGCAGAGATGAAAAGACCAAATTGGTTTTTAAGTGTACTAGCTGGTGATATGTTGTGGGACTTGGAGGGTTAGAGGAGCTCTAATGAGAATGTATTCATGGGTTAATCAGATCCAGCAACAAGTTTTGTCACTGTTAGGGCTCTCAGCAGGACCTTTAGCTGGCATAAAAAAGAGCAGCTTCAAATGGTTGTTCTTAGTTTTGGAAGCTAGATTAAAAATGGTAAACTCAATGATCTATTAGTAGGCTGCTCTCACCGAATTGACATTTGGACCGGACCATAGTGGTCCGAATGCGCTGTTGGTTCGGTCCTTGGTACTAATATCTCTTGCACTATTGGACCGTGGTTCTCCTGAGTTTGCTCTGGTCCGGGCCGTCGCACACCCCTACAATTCTAAATGTAATTGTGATTTGTATATCTGCTTAGTCTGTTAGGACTCTGTCATTGATGCTCGTGTGTTAGTGCTGGCCATAGCTAATGCACAAAAATATATTATTCATATAGCTTGATTGGTGGTGGACTTACACGCTGTAAAGAGGAATCCATGTTGGTCTCAATTCTATCGTTCTTTACTGCTTAAACAGCAGCATCAGTTGGTTATGAATTGCTTGCAAAACTGAATATGAAATGGGTTTAGACCCTACTTATGTTTAACATCAGAAGCTCGAGGAGATTGTGTTCCCAAATGGAAGGAGGCATTTCCCTGCTTGCTTTATTCTTGTCAAGATATCGTAGTTTTTTTTAACGAGTAGCTAAGCTACCCAATTTCAGTGTGATGTCCTATTAGCCTTTATTGCATACTGTGCCCCTGAACAATACTTCTCGACTCAGTTTTTTTGCGAGTATGGTTAAATGTCAGGGCTCTTTTTTCCTTTACATTGTTTAGACTTCCCTATTTAACGTCTATGGAGCTCAATGTCGACATCAACCATTTCACTGCTATTTGCAGGGTTGTTTCTTTGCCTGAGAACGTGGATTTCATGATCTTCAACCACAGGGGCAGGGCATTCTCTTCTGAAATCGACTTGAAACTCAAACATTAGCTCTCTTTCTGTGTTAAAGGAACGGATCATAATCTGTTTTCACATCCATCCCGAGGAAGTGGTATCTCCATTGTTGAAACCTCCGCAAGACTTAGAAGCTACTATTTGTGAATACTCACAAATGCGGCTAAAATATGGAGTTGTTTGTTCACGATAGCATCATCCTTTTTGGCTATTCCTCACAACTGAAGGTTTACTTAATTAGTGTTTCTTTGTTTGTCATGTTTTTTGGCTTTTTGCTACAACACCTTAGGAACTGCCCCTTCAATGGCTGATGATTGCGAGTCTCAGTGTACACGCTCCTAACTTGAACTCTAATCCCCTGCAATATATGCAAAAACCCTGTTTACAGCAAACTACACAGATGCAATTCCTCCCTCCTTCCCTTGATTCAACGACGAAATGTTGGAATCAAAGGGCTTGATTCGTTAGCAGGACGCAAGTTGATTAGGAAAGGGTGTTGTGTATTATTACTCAAATTATATAGGGATTATAACTTTATATAGAGTACAACGATGGCCTCTTATAATAATCCTAAGATTAATACGAAAATTATATAAATTCTACAACTCTGATAAAAAAAAATGTATGGCATGTCTATTTTCCAACAGGTTTGTCCAATTTAAACTTCAAAACGAAATTCAAACATTGGATTACTTATAAGTTATAAATAAACTGACTTTTCACCATTAAATCAAAACTCACAATCATTAACAGTTAAGGTAAGTACATATATTTCTCAGACCAATCACAATATTTAAGCACAACTTTTAGTTGAGAAGAACGACTGGGCATTTAACTAAGCGATATAGTAGAATGGATAAAATCTGCTTCCTACTAATGATATAAACGTATACTGGTACCATCGTTGTATCCTGACCTGTCATTTGTGATGGGTTACTTTGAAATACAACTTCATTTTAGAGAATAAAAACCCATAAGGACATTACGAAACCAAATTTATTCAAAGAACTTCATATCCACTTCAAAGGTTCCATTTTAAAAAATAGGAGAGTTTAGCATGCCAAATCACTCATTTGAAAAATCTCAAACCAATTTTAATCAATGCAATATAAAGGCTCGTTCCAAATTTTGTACTTGTTGGAATAATGCCAAATCATTATCATTAGTGCCCCAACTACCTTATGTGCAAAATAGCTTTGGACCTGTATTGCGATTTGCGTTGGTCTACTTTCAAATATAGCCACATCACAAACCAAAGCAATTAAGCAAAAATCTTCACATTCCAAGTAGAACGACTCAATTCAGCTTTGATAGCACTTTATACATATCGGTTACCTCTGGACCTATTGCACTTGCTACCTTCAGATCTTTGTGAACACAATACAATTGAGGAGATGAAGCTATCAATGGAATGGAGTGTGTTAACTAAGTGAATCACCATACAGCTGGATAAACAGAGTCTTCTAGATTAGCTATAAGAACAATGGGGGTAGGTGCAATCCATCGATTGCTCCCTCTGCGCAATCCAGTTAGAATCTTTGGGCAAGGTTGTAGAGATTAAAGTTCAGTGAGAACTTTGGGTACAAGAGGAGTGTAGGTTCTTGGGGGAGGAGATGACGCGGCGAGTAGAATGGGAATCTTTGGCAACTGCGATGGGTGCACAATTATTGGGCCAAATCACAGTTTGGGCTCATTTAAATCAAAAACATATTTTTACTTTCGTGCTTAACAGACCAGTCACACTGGCACCTCCTAAATCTACCCCTAAAAATGCTTTGGATGCAGCAAATTTGAAATGGGATCCCTCGTTTCTCAGTTTACCTTTATATTATGTGTAGATTGTGATGAGTGATGAGTGTATATGTAGACAAGTCATTGTCCTACAAATTCACTAACACGTTAAAAAGTGGTGAAATGAGCCACCCTATTAAACTCAATATCGTATAATGATCGTTGGATCCAATCATGCAAGATTAGGAGGTTTAAAATATAGCGATTAACCCGACTAAAACGTCCAAAGAACCGGTTTCATATAGTTTGCACAAAGATATGATTGCTTCATAGTAGTTTTGAAATCTAATACTAATTTAAGAAGTCGACATTGCTTCTACATATTTAATCTTGAAATTCGATATGCAATATTCAAACTAGTGATATTTCGGTTGCAATTTTAGGTTATCATATCTTTGTAAGATAGATAGAGATTAAAACTAATTATTAAACTATAACTAAAATAATCAAAATATGAAAATCGAAGTAACAGAACAAGAAATAAGTACTTACGCGAAATTAAGTGGCAAGCTAATCGTTGAAAAGTCATATGATATTCATATTTTAGGTTTGCTTAGGTTTTTAATTTAAAAATATACAACAAATATACTTAGTGTGATCGGTTATGATCCTTGCTTTTCCTTAACTGACCATGGTTCAAATCTCTGTACGTGTTTCTTTTTATGAATAAATAGAAAATAAATAAGTAATTATGGAGACTAAAATGTTCTTCCTTCTGCTATTATATTACTAGCTTGTTGTCCGCCCCGTTGGTCGGAATGTCATTTGAACACAA